TATTTTTGTAGTTTCATATCCCCTATGCATATAGACGATCATGGAACAACACAAACACGTGCATCAATTCACACACATGCGCACACAAACACACACATCAGCACAAATACACAGATGCAGACAGGAGAGGACCTAATCAGCACCCCTTGACATTGAGGACATTCTGTAACATTAATGACTCCTGATTTCCCAAAGTCTGTCTATCAAGACACATGTCAGGAGTGTGATGGAATACTGTCCACTTGCTTTGATGAGGGCAGCTCTGATAACACTAAAGCTCTATCACCTAGGACAAAGCAGCATATTTACACCATTCAACAACATTACACAGCAGCAGTGCGCACCAGCTGCAGTGTGCACCGTCTGAGATATGAACCGTCTGTAAGATGCATTGCAGCCACGCACCACGTCCGCTTGCACTGCACTTTCCAATTCCAAGACCACTTCCATCCAGAAGGACAAGGGCAGCAGATACATGGGAACACCACCCACCTCCAAGTTTCCCTCCAAGCCACTCACCATCCTGACTTGGAAATATATTGCCATTCCTTCACTGTCGCTGGGTCAAAATTTTGGAACTCCTTCCCTAATTGCACATTGGCATGTTTCTAGACTACAACTCAGTTCACCACCACCTTCACAGAAGCAATTAGCAATAGGCAAAGAATGCTGGCCTAACATGGATACACAATAGCACATAGATTCAGCAAAGGGAAGTTTTTGATACCTTGATGTCTTAAATTTTGGTTGTTTTCAAGAAGTGACTTCATGCCATATTTTCAGTTCATTTTTTCCCCGCATCTTTCAAGAATGAAAGGTGAACCAATTCCATTGTCTCACTCACTGTTACTATCACACTTTCACTCTCTCTCTCTCACTACATTCCATTCACACTATCATGAGATTACTCATTCACTGTCACTACCTTTGTCACTCACTGTTACTGTTTCTCTCACTTGCTGCTGCTGTGACTGTTTCTCACATATGGTCTCTCTCATGCTCACAATCATGACCTCTCTCGCTCAGCACAATTCCCACTCATGCTGATACTTGTGCCTCACTCTCAAACTGTGTCAAGTAGCAAAGTGATCATTTATTGACCTAGAAATTCCATCATTAGTCAGGTTTGGGAGACTTGAGTTCAAATTACAGTGGGACTACCAGGAGTTTAAATTCAGTTAGTTAGTTAACTACTTTTGAAGTAAAATGCTAGCATTAGTTACGGTTGACTGCGAAAATGCAAAATTGTTGGAATCCATCTATTCGGCAATACATTTGCTTTGCTAGGAAATTGGCAAATACCTGGGGGAAGGACAGCCTCGCTCACAGGGGCAAGTTCAACCTTACTGCCACTATGCAGTCTCATTCACAGGTTAACACACTGACACCCTGAGAAGTGGTGCAGGAAGACTGGGAGGTGGTTTAACCTGAAAAAGTGGTTGGGTTTGTAAGCCGGGTAACAGGTTATCAAGGGCTGTCATGCCTGGTGCACTGGGAAACTACTGCTTTCTTTTGTTCCCCTCCACATGACCTGTGGCATGCCAGCACCTCCTGTGGGTGTGACAGTTTAAATATATAACATTCTCATTACTTTCTCCACAGTGCCTGGCGTTGGCTGCCCAGCCCCCAGGGAAATCAAAGCAAACAGGCAGTGGGATTTAACAGGGGCTTTTATTTTTAACGAAATTATTTAAATGCTGCGATTGCCCTGCTGCCTCAACGAGGCGAAAGGCTATTTTCTGACAGGCCCATGCATTGGGTGCCACCTGTAACACTGCCTGGTCCCCTAGCACAGAGATGCAGCTCACAGGAGGCAATAGTCCCAAACACAGGGACTAACAGAATGAGAATAAACCTCTTGGGTGTGACTGAACACCAAGCCATTAACTTTTCTCTGCGTCTCTGATATCTGCAGGGCTGATTGGGAGTGATGACCAGAAGTTGAGTGATGCTCCTCGTTAAAGATGGAGCCCAGAAGGCACTGGCAATGGGCAGAAGGTCCTGCCCACCTATCTGTAAACATGGCTTTTTACCCCCTGCCATGAACTAAGAAAGCAATCCCTCGCCCCCTTTTTCCCCCAAGCAGAAATACCTCCTGCTTTTGGGCTGCACTCCATGCGAATGATCTTGTCTTTTTGAGACTGAGCATGTCACAGTCTCCCCTTGCAGCCCCACTCTCTCACACTGGGCTAGAATGAGGCATTTAGGGCAAGTTCAAACTTGCAGAAAAGATTCCATTTGTGTGTTATCAGACAATAAGCAGGTATCGTATGCTGCAAGGTGATATTATACTGAGAGGTGACTGCGAAAAGCAGGGACGAACAAGAGAGACAATTAGCGGTTAGTATTAAGTGGAGAGTACATTGCAACCTTGTACCAGCTCTTGTTCAACTCACTGATGGTATGAACCATTCTGAGAACAACAGGTTATCCTTAAACAGCAGAACTCTTTCTGTGATGAAACCTGAGAAGCTTTATATGCAAAGATATTAAATTATATGCAAATATGGTACATGTTGAATTCAAGCTTTTGACTCTGAAGCTTAGTGCCATTCTGTCAGGTATTAAGCAAGTGATCTTCTGATTGTATTGGTGGAAAAATAAAAGTTTGCCAAACAAACAAACAAAACCCTATTTTTAAAAAAATACTGCCTTTTTATTTGATTTGCTTTCAATGAGGCTGAATTCCTGGTCAGAATGGGAGCAGGAGATCTCTTTAGTCTAGTCTCACTGAGTAGAAAATCATTCTGAATTTAATGACACGTAGGATTTGAAAAGGACTTTTCTTCCTCTGTGCGAGTTCAGGATTGGTTACATCAGAAGGATCAATTCCTGATAAGAACAGGAGGTCGATATTAGAAACGTTATTGTTTTTGTGTGTGTGTGTGTCTGTTTTCGCAGCAGATTAGCCTTTCTGTCTGTGTCCCTGAATTTGATTAGTTTACAACTGCTGGAATCCATCCTCCTCCCACTTTCTGCCTTGCACTTCCATGTTTTGCTTTCTGGGTGAACTCAGTCCAGTGGCATCTGAGAGGCCAAAAGAGAATCTCTTTTTGTGTTCTGTTGATGCCTGTTCTCATGTAAATGAGCTGCCTTTGTAGAAGGGTTACACAGTATCGTATTAGCAAAACAACCTCACCAGCACCAGAATTTTAAAAAAATCCCTTTCAGAGTGCGGCTTTTCTGAAAAGTACAAGGGTGTTTTTTTGGACTTTGTTACAGATTAACCCCAAAAGGAAGATCTGTGTTAATATTGTGCTAACAATGTTGGGCAATTGCTAGCTGTATGCTGCAGCAAGTTCAGATAGAAAAAAACTAAACACTGTGCAGGAGGCTTGATGTAAGTAAGGTAACAAGACGCAACACCTTGTACAGAAGTGTGCACATCGCATGTTGAAACGCACTGGCTGCTTTTGTCTTAATAATTATTAACTTAATGCTTTCTAACTTTCTCTCGTCCGGGGAAAAACACATGCATTTATAGAGCATCTTCTATTATCTCAGGACATTCCAACATGATTTAAAGGGAATTTTTCTGAAGAAGGGTCCCGACCCAAAACGTCAACTTTCCTGCTTCTCTGTTGCCTGGCCTGCTGTGTTCCTCCAGCTCCACACTGTGTTTAAAGGGAAAGATGGTTGGTGCTATTAATTCCCGGCCAAGGCACAGTGACAAAAGGAGACTCTTGTAATCCACGGCAGTGCTGAGAGACTATTGGAACTCTTGCTCCAAAATCCAGTTTGCATTCACTGAACTCACACACGTATAGCTTCCAAGACAACAAGGTGCAGAGCTGGATGAACACAGCAGGCCAAGCAGCATCATAGGAGCAGGAAGGCTGTTGTTTCGGGCCTAGACCCTTCTTCAGAAATGGGGGAGGGGAAAGGGGTTCTGAAATAAATAGGGAGAGAGGGGGAGGCGGATAGAAGATGGATAGAGGAGAAGATAGGTGGAGGGGAAACAGACAGGTCGAAGAGGCGGGGATGGAGGGCAGTTTCAAGGCCGAAGAGATTACGAGAGAGTTGCAGTGGGAGAGAGATCCCCTGAGGTTTCATTGGGTTCAGTTGATTGCAGCCTTGTTGAGATTAAGTAACAGCACGGTTTGAGCATTGACTCTGGAAGCTACTAATCGCTGTAATTTAGGGTAATTCTTGCATTCTTTGCTGGAAAACCCCCAGGGAAATTGTGACAGGAGCTCAGTGAGACAGTACTCTCAGGATTTGTTGGTGACGTGTTTTTCTCCTTCTGCTTGGAGGTAAAAGCATCATTCTGTTATTTTGTAAACAATATATCCATGCAGTAAGAAAGAAAGGTTTACATTAGCTGTAAAACACCCTGAAATGTCCTGTGGTTATGTAAAGCACTGTTTAAACGCACATCTTTGTTTTTATATTCTGCAGCTGTGAAAGATATGGCAGATATATATGTCACATCTTTCATAGGTACAGAACGTTTTTATGACCAATTAAATACTTTATTAAATGTAGCGGTTGTTGTAATGTAGGAATAAGGCAGCTAATTTGTACCCAGCAACTTCCCACAGTTTGCTAAAAATGAAGCGATGGGATTGTCATTTCTGTTGGAGGAATATCTGTTGACCAGGACTCCCCTGGGTGGTCTTCAAAATAGTGCCATGGGATTGTTTACCTCTGCCTGAGGTGAGTGATGGGACCTCTCTGTTTGATGCCTGTTAACAATGGCATCTCCAACAGTGTAGCACCCCTTCACTACTGAACGCCAGTGTCAGCCTTGAGAATTTGTCAAAATCTCTACATTGAGATTTGAACCAACTCATTCAGAAAGCTGCAGATGGCTGAGGTAGGGTGTAGTTCATCTCCTGCCAAGTGCCCATTTCCATAATTGGGTGTCGCCTGTTTCTTGATGAAGGCCAAACAGGTTCCTTTTGAAACATTTGGAATTCCTTTCATTTTATGGTTGCCTTGTGGCATTTAATTAACAATAATTTATTTATTTTTCTCTCTTCTCCTTTACTTTCTTGCAGGTCCCATTGTTAACTTGCCTCTGTTGAAGGATGATCAGTTCATGCCAACTCCTTTAAAAAAACCCAAAGCAAAGACCTGGAGGCAACTCTCCACCCCAACAGTGGGAGACTGAGATCCGGGCCCCGTCTCCCATGGTTGAGCCTACAGGAGGATGGGCTCTTTCCGTAGACCCAGACCTCGTTTCCTGAGCTCACCAGTACTCAGTGACCTACCCCGCTTCCACGCTGCCAGGCAGGCAGCGCTGCTGGGTTCCAACCGAGCGTGGAACAGGTAAGAGCACCTTTCGTCAGTAGTGGCAAGGGTCTGCGACCAATTCCTAAACAAATGCATTGCTCCTGGAGAATTCAGTAGGTCAACGCATGAGTTGGCACTGCACTGTTTAAAAGCAGAAAGGAAGAGTATTATTTATATGATGAGGAGGTGCCGGTGTTGGACTGGGGTGGATAAAGTCAAAAATCACACGACGCCGGGTTATGGTCCAACAGGTTTGTTTGAAATCGCAAGCTTTCAAAACGCTGCCCCTTCATCGGGTGCAGTGAGAGAGGGCACACAGTCTCCGAGTTTATAGGCAGAGAGATCAAAGCATCGTACAACTGGTGTGACTGCTGTGAACAAACCTAAAACGGCCTATGGAGAACTCTGTTAGAAAGGAGAAGCACATTTCGATTAAGATGCAAATTCCAGGATCTGTTTTAATTCACTGCCCCGAGATAATTTAAAGGTTTTATCTAACTTTCTAAGCTTCAATCAGGCAGAGATACAAAAGGTGATATCTCCGATCAGATGCTGAATTATAGGTGTGAGGCCTCGTTCAGAATCTGTATCCGGAGTTTTACCTGGAATCAGGCTGGTTTTATTCCGAAAGCAGGAATTTATGAAATGCCTCACTGACTGACTGTGACTACAAATTTGTGTGTTTTTTTTTTCAACAAAATAAAATGCATCAGCAAATGGACAAACATCTTGGATGAAATGATTACCTCCATAGATTTTATGTGTGTGTGTTTGAATCTATGGGGGGAATCATTTCATCCAAGATGTTTGTCCATTTGCTGATGCATTCTGTTTTTTTTTTGAAAAAAAACACAGACAAATTTGTAGTCCCAGTCAGTGTGGCATTTCATAAATTCCTGCTTTTAGAATAAAACCAGCCCAATTCCTGGTAAAACTCCGGATACAGACTCTGAACGAGGCCTCACACCTAAAATTCCGTGTCTGACCTGAGATGTTCACTGCACTCACACCAGTTATATGATCCTTTGATCTCTCTGCCCTTAACCTCTCTGCCTATGAACCTTGCATCTGTGTGTTCTCCTCTCACTCCACCTGATGAAGGGGCTGCACTCCGAAAGTTTGTGAACCCGTTGGACTATAACCTGGTGTCATGTGATTATTTATTATTTAAATGGTGATATCTTGGGAAACATGGATGTGCAAAGGGTGTTCTTGTACATCAGTGTAATCAAATAGACAGGAGGGTGTAGAAAGCAATTGGGAAGGCAAAGGCTATATTGACTTTTATTGCAAGAAGATTTGAGTTTAGAAATTTGCAGTTATACTTGGTGAAATTGCACCTGGAGAATTGCATGAAGTTTTGATCTCCCTGTCTAAGAGAGGATATACCTACCATTGAAGGAGCACAGTGCTGACTAGGTACTACTGGATGTTTCCTTTTGATTTGGATGTCTGGAACCAGGAGTTACAGTCGAAGGATACAGGATGAGGAAACATTTCCTCCCTCAGAGCGTGGAATTTGCTCCCATAGACGGCTGTGGAGGCCGGGTCATTGAGCATGTTTTAAGAAACAGTTTGATAAATTTACAGATCTCAAAGGCTTCTCACAGTTTGGAGAGAAAGCAGGAATGTGGTGATGAGATCGCAGAGAAGCCAGGAGCATGTTAAATGACAGAGGAGGCCCAAAGGGCCAAATGAATTACTCCTGCCCCAAGTTTCTATGTCTGTTCCCTTCACAGACTAAAGTTTCGACTTTCAACCTAAGCAGATGGCCGTTATAGTCATGGGTAAATCATCATTATCTCCTCATCTCGTTTGGTGCTGTAGACACGTGCTCACAAGTCCCAATAATTTCATTCTAACTTGGCATTCATCCACAGAGACTGAACAGGGATGTTTGGCATAGCTACACAGCATACGTTTTGTAGAAGGAGACAGCACTATTAGACCCAGACTGGGAACTTTTGATGCTCGTGAACACACAGAATAGTGATGTTCCAATCCCCTAGTGATGATACTTTTCGTGATTAGAATATTCAACTTTTTTTTTCTCCCCCTCAAAATAAAGGAGGAAATCTAACCACGTAGGTTGTAGTGTTGGGCAAAGACCATGAAGATTGGTCACTATTTCAGCGGTTCTTCCTGTTACAGTATAGCCACCTCATCCTGTCACATGACAGAACCAATCCGTCCTCTTACGCCAATCGCTCTGGCTGATGTTTGTGTCACCACGTGTAACTGGAAACATTGGTAAAGGCTGTTTACATGTCTGTCTAAAATAAAAGCAGTGTTGGGTTTCTGAGAAATCAAGGGACAACATGATGTTTGTGACACTGGGCAAAGTTCCTGGCTGAGTGAGTCTAGTGCTCAGTATCAAAGCCAATGTAATTCAGTTTGTTTGCAGCTTACTGAGGGGCTCCCTCTTCTACAGAATCCAGTTACTGGTGAGGATTGACAAGTACAATAGAAACCCAGAACTCTGAAACATAGATAAAGAGTTGAAATCTAACCAGGTTCCCAGTCCTAATTATTGCTGGAAACCTGTGGACGGAGTGTGAATAAGAAGAGGACCGGGATTTTCTTTGTTAAGAAATAACTTGCATCCAGATTGCACCCTTTCTCAGAAATGTCTTAAGACCGTTCACAGTGAACAGCCAGCTATGACACAGGCCAACACCAGTGCCTGTTTTGCGCACAGCAAGATCCCACAAGTTCCATTCTACAAAGATAATTCATGCAGGATGGAACTGGAGCCAGTCTTTACATATTAATTTAGAGATGCAAGTTTCAAACATACACTTCCTAAACCAACAACCACAGTTTTACTGTCTTTATTTTACTGGGGCTCAAGTGAATTCCTGCCTTGTGTTTAATTCAAGTAACATTAATAAAAAAAATCTGGACCTTCCCTTTTAAAGAAAAATTAGAGTTAATGTGAATAATCAAAAACAAGTTAAATCAGAAAATGTTGTCTTTTGCGTTGCTTTGTGAGATGGGACGTAATAATTTCTTCAAAGATGCTGTTCAATTCAACACATGTATCCAACCATTTAGCTGTAGAGATTTCCTTCCTCTCTTTCAAGCCCAAAAGGTTAATCTATAACCTTTGATCTTACTTTCCTGGTGTATGCTTTATCTCACAATGAATGGTTATCGACATAACATTTAATGGGTATGCCATCTGCAGTGCATCACTTGTACACTTCAAATATTTGACAAATTAAAATCACACAGCCACTACTTCCTCAATAGCCCATGTTTCGTAGCTTTTTAACAAATATTTAAAAATGTTTATCTTTCCAAGCCGTACATTTCCTATTTTACCCCTTTTCGTTCACGGGATGTGGCCATCCAGCATTTGCTGTATATCCCTAACTGCACTTAGGAAGATGAGATGTTGGGAATGTATTAGAATTGTGTAAGAGATGATCTGCATTCTAGTGTTCACCGGGAATGTCAATATGTGAAGCATCAGTAAAACTGACTGAATTCCTGCTCCGGGGGCCATCTGAAGGTGGGTACTTATGTCTGTAAGGAATTTCTGTACAGATCACCTTTGTGACAATCTGCGTCTCCTTATCTTGTATATCAAAATAACATCCAAATTCACCCTGACTACCTAATTCCCTATTGCATCTCAATTCTTTATCCAAAAGTTCATTGGCAGCTTCAAAGCTGCTCAGTCATGAAAATGCCTGCTTCTGATTCTGTTCTGAGATGGTCCTGAAGCTTGTATTTCATTCTCTGAACCAATGTGAATTTGTCTCCCGCAGTGGATTTAATCTGGTACGTCAATGCTTATGTTATCCTTTGCAAGCTAAAACAAAATAGCCATGGATATCATGGTATTGAAGATTCCAACAGATGTTTATTACAGATTTTACATTATTCAAGCCCATGTCTGGGCTCGTGTTAAGCTGTTTGATTAGAGAGCAGCGTGCTCCCTGTTTCATGTCATGCTTCAAGTGATCCCCTAGTAAGATGATGTATGAGACTTTTGTCCTTCAGGTCACATTATATCCTAATCAAATCTCTTAAATGCATACCACCACTTTTCCAAAGATGAAACTTATCCCGAATAGGTATGTATGATTGCACATACACACACATTATCAGTTCAACAATTATTGCAAGTAATTAAAACAAAGTTTATAAGACTAGAATAATAGGGTGGTTGTGGCAGGGGATTTTAACTTTCCAAACATAGACTGGAACTGCCATAGTGTTAAGGGCTTGGATGGAAAGGAATTTAAGTATATACAAGAAAATTTTCTGATTCAGTATGTGGATGTACCTACTAGAGATGGCACAAACTTAACTACTCTTGGGAAATAAGGCAAGGCAAGTGACTTAGGAGTCAGTGGGGGAGCACTTTGGGGCCAGCGAATATATTTCTATTAGTTTTAAAATAGTGATGGAAAAGGATAGACCGGATCTAAAAGTCAAAGTTCTGAATTGGAGAAAGGCCAATTTTGACGGTGTTACGCAAGAACTTTCAAAAGGTGATTGGGGCAGATGTTTGCAGGTAAAGGGATGGCTGGAAAATGGGAAGCCTTCAAAAATGAGATAACGAGAGTCCAGAGACAGTATGTCCCTGTTAGGGTGAATGGTAAGGCTGGTAGATGTAAGGAATAGTGGATGACAAGAGAAATTGAGGGTTTAGTCCAGAAAAAGAAGGAAGTATATGTCAGGTGCAGTCAGCAGAGTTTGAGTGAATCCCTAGAAGAGTATAAAAGCAGTAGGAATATACTTAAGAGGGAAATCAGGAGGATAGAAAGGGGACATGATATAACTTTGGCAGGTACAGTTAAGGAGAATCCAAAGGGATTCTACACAAATACATTTAGGACAAAAGGGTAACTAGGGAGAGAATAGGGCCCCTTTAAGAATCAGCAAAGCCACCTGTGTGTGGAGCCACAGGAGATGGCAGAGATACTAAACGAGTATTTTGCATCAGTGTTTACTGTGGAGAAGGATATGGAAGAAATAGGATGTGGGCAAGTAAATAGCAACATCTTGAAAAATGTCTACATTAC